ACACACCCCACCCCGACCCATGTTCGAGAGAAAAAGTTTATCAAAGGTTTTTCTCTATTTTTCAGATCTTCATTTTACATCGGTCTTGCATGCGATCCTCACTTACTTCATCCGATTACACTGAAAATTTTTCCATAGATACTTCCGAATATTTCCTATGAGGAAAATAAACTGTTTGTATTTTGACTCTACATTTCAGAGTTACAGAGTTTTGAGAACTAAAACTCGACTTTGCCACTACAGCTTTGCATATTTTTTCAGATTAAACAGCAAGTGAGACGTTTTTCAAAGTGTAAGCAAGTCAATGTAAAGCAAAGTGCTTCTTAAAGTTAATGAAAAATTCATGCTAAAAATTTTCTTTCGAACATGGATTTTATCAAATATGATAATCATGAAAACAGCCGATTCATATGTGGCTTTCATCTTTATGTTCAGTGAATTGGGGAAAGCATGGTTTGATGTAGATAGTAATCTAATAATCACTTGAAAATTAGTATTTTGTGACTATTTCCTACAGAGTTTTGTCTCTTTAGTCAAGAGTAACAAAACGATAATCATGGGACAACAGGCATCTACACCGAACAAGTCTTCGACATTCACTGAATCGCTATGGCAGTCGAATTCGGATTCTTTTGCTAACTCACAATCAGCCGAATGGAGTCATTTTTCGAATGTAGAAAATGAAATTATTGAAGAAACATTCTGGACTAAGCAGACTCATGCCATGCTGGACGATTATCACATTGATTTCAAGCATAGCGTTCAAGTCTCCAACACAAATCTCAACAAGCAAAGACCTGTCAAACGGTTAATGTGCAAGAGAGCGGATAGTCATATACGAAAAGAACAGTTTATGCACGATCCTATAGCTCCCAAACGTCCATTCGGTGGCCAGTATGGTTGGGTTTCTCCCTTCATTCAAGAAGTGAGAAAAGAGTTGAAACTTAAAGAGCGGCAGTTTCCTGCACGAGATAAAGCAATCGTTCCGATGATCGTTGAGAAAGCCGCTATCGGCCTTATCCAAGAAGGAAAGAAAAACGGAAAGCAACGTGAAGGCGAATGGATGGCGAAGCAATTGATGAGCCATAAAAAACATGGAATAAAAAAAATTTGGCAGTGTTGTGCTCATCTTTACTCAATGGATAGTTTTCTGTGGAGAAAAATGAATGAAACAATGAGATTGACAGGAAGTGAGGAGCACGAAGACGTTTGGCGAAGTAAAATTGCCACACTTGGACCCTTTTGTTTGCTGTTGTCGGGCAATCCCTTCAATGGTAAGGCAAACATGAGAAAAGGACTACTATACCGTGGGGTCAACCTGTCCGACTCTCAGATATCCATCTATAAAGACTTATCTCAGCATCCCAATGAGTACCGCTCGTTTCAGGCATTCACTTCATGCACCTGAAATCGTGCTGTAGCTGAGATTTTTGGCAACGTCTTATTCATCATGAAAGTAGATTATGCTTTTACTGTAGATCTTCAACCATTTTCTAATTTTCCCGACAAAGAAGAAGAGCTTGTAGTTCCTGGTGTTTGTTTCACTGTTCAACGCATAGAATTTGATGAGGTCCAGCACAGATACTTGATTTACATAAATCTCCAACACCGACACAATGGTAAGTATGAGGGTGTGGGTGTGGGTGTGGGTGGGTGGGTGTCGGTGTGGGTCCTCTCTTCACCCACATCCACACGCCTACACCCACACCCACACGCCTACACCCACACTCATACGCCTACACCCACACCCACACCCTCGAATGATTGAGTAGCGCATAACATTTTTATTGATAGTCACTGTGAGTAGCAAGATAAATATTCCAAGGAAGAGCATATATATGATTAGATGAAAAGGATAAATAATATATTCAGTGCAATCCAACAGATTAGTAGATACGTGTATATTGTTCGCAGAGCGTTTTGTCATCCAGTTCGCTAGTTATTTTTAACTCGTATTTTTTCATGGCAAAATATGTATCGACCAGTGGCTTAGGTAGCTCCTGCATGAGATCACTGTTGTTTAACAGTATTTCTAGAGCATCAGAGAGATTCGACGGTAAAGTAGTGATATCAAGTGTCTTTCTCTCATTATCGCTCAATTCGTGGGGATCGATGTCAGCTACTGCTTTCAAGTTCATATTTTGTTGAATACCAAGTCGTCCGGCAATGAGTATGGCGGCCATACTCAGATGTGGGCTAGCCGTAGCGTCTAACGGACGAAACTCTATGTTATACTGCTTCGCAATCGATTGACTTCCAAGGCTTACTGTAGGACTGATACGCAAGGAGGCTTCACGATTACGATAACCCAAACAGACATAAGCTGCACTCCAGTGATGAGGTTTCAGTCGCATGTAAGAAACTGGTGTCGGTGCAGTAAGTGCGCAGAGTGCCGGTAAGTGATGCAGTACGCCAGCTGCCCAATGCTCCCCCAGTTCCGACAAATCATAACGACGTCCTTCTTGATAAAGTAATGGCCGTCCATCAAGATCCTGAATACTCAAATGCAAATGAACACCATTGCTTATTGCACCGACATATGGCTGCGGTGAAAAACTAGCATGCATATTCATTTGTCGAGCAATGTCTCGGGTGATCTCACGCAGATTAACGGCACGATCAGCAACAGCAATACCTTCAGTAGGTTGGCAAGTGATTTCGTACTGACTTCGCCCATATTCGGGGAGAAACATTTCCGGTTCGACACCCGCTGATTGAAGGGCAGTAACTAACCATCCAGCAAAATCAGCCACATGCCGATGAGCTCGCAAAGAGAATGCTGGTAAATCACTCATACATTGCCGTCCATTCAAGGTGAATTCATGTTCGAAGGCAGCTTTAACTCGCATACCAAATATATCATGGTAACGTTGAATTTCCTGACGGAGAAGCTCACGTGGACAACCGGACCAAGCTTTACCGTCAGTTTCGATAATGTTGCAATGGATAAAGTCGAATGTCGGTGTTGTTGGGTTTGGCCCATTGATGATTCGAACTCTACTGTTGCGATCAGGTAGTAACCGTAGATCACCATGTGAACCCCATGGGTTTGGATCAGCGACAATACCTTGTGGTGTCACAGCACTGGCAGCCGGGACCCAACCACATCCACTGCTCCAATAGTCATCGATAGTTTCTGTTGGCAATGCCCGACCACGTGTAATACCAGCCAGATCCGTTGTGACTAACATTGTCAATGCGGTTGGTTGGAGAGATGAACGAACAGATATTGATAAATTCTGTTGCTGATCATTGATAGCTAATTTTGTTGAGGAACCATCGTTTTTAGAATTATTACTACCTATAAAATGATAAATCAACAAAGTTCTTGATAATACGAGGTACGTCTATGTTTTCCTAGTGGAGATTTCTTTCTCCAATAAAACGCTTTGCAATATTGAATAGCAAGTGCATCGACCTAAGAAAGACTTTACTAATATATCCTAGAACAATGCGTGATCTATTCGTTATTTTCGACTAAACTAGAAAATTAAAAGTAACTAATAGACGTAAATGTCGAAGCTAGATAAGACCATGCACAACATGCTCTTACGTTTCCACCCCTAATTTGTATTACTTCAGCCAACTAAAAAACTTCACTTCTCCTTACCTACAGCATACATCGTTTAGTTAAGGGTTGTTCAATGTTGCTGTAGTGCGTTGTTGTGTGTTTATTTTTTTTTCTTTTTCCTTCTTTTCACCTCCAACTATTCAATTTGGTTGGCTCCTTCACTGTTCTTGTCTTTGTTTCACTAACTCAAACTCTTATTCGCAGTTAGCTACACCAATTATTGTCATTGTGTTCTTAGTAATCTATTTATCATACTGTTCTCTGCTTATCTATTATACGGTTCGACTGATGTACACTTTTCTTTTCCTTGTGGTGTAGTCCTTGTTCCTCCTCATCTATATTGAAACTTATGTACCGATAGGACCCAATGTGGTCAGCAGTTACGCGAATAAAAAAAAAGAAGAGTGCGTGACATATCTCACTAAGTTTCACAAAACAATCATTGCACTACAATACCTTGAATCTCTTGAATAAATTCATCTGTCGTCATTATACGACAGTAGCCACCAAAAGCACGCAGTGCATTTTCGTGACGCTCTTGAGTATGAGTTGTGCAGGCATCTGAAATGCAAATCACTTGATAACCTTTGTCGGCGGCGTCACGTACAGCCATATCAACACATTGATCTGTTAAGAAACCCATAACCACAAGGAATTCCACACCAAGATTTCTCAATATATAGTCGATATTTGTAGAATTGAATACACCAGAACTTGTCTTCTTCAGCCAAATATCGTCTTCAGCAGGAGCCACGTCACTGATAATATCAGCTTCGGGTGATCCTTTTGGAATAAAAATATTTGATAACTTATGATCCAAACTTCGATCTCGACCATTCCGAGTGAGACTTTCAACAGTAGTGTACATGATTTCCATACTCAATGGACGTGCGACTTTGATAATATGAACCATATTTGGTATACAAATATCAATTGCTTGTTGATAGTACCAGGGTGTGTTTTGTTGATGTTCGATGCTGATCTCACTATTTTGTACATCAACCAACAATACAGCAGTTTTGTTGGGAATAATAGGTGTCAATCGTGTTTGATACATAGGCATTCTAAAATTCAGAGTAAAATCCAATTTACTACAAGTCAGACATCTATTTCACATGACAAGCCATCAAACGGCTTTTCTCTTTTATCACATAGGTTACCTTAAAGGAACACAATGATTTTAAAACTGGAATCGATTGCTCTTCTTCTAAATTTGTCTACATGGATACAGGTTACTATAGTGGATTGTGTCAATATTAGTCCTCGGTATATAGTAGTACAAAGAAGCTTCACCCGAGCCAAAAACCTGCTGTAGAACAGAACATAGTCACCTGATGCGTGCACCGTTTGTTGACGTGACATTTTCGTTTTTCCTTCATATGATGTATATCACAGTGGAAAAGACAGAATTTTTTTTCTGTTTTTATTCATATCGTACACACGAGTATGTGACTCTTCATCAAATTGATGTTCACCACAATACACCCTACAAATATGTTTTATATCAAACATGGACAGTAAGAACGCTTTTCTCTCCAACGATGAATGGGTTAAATTACGAGTGCTACAAGTAGTGCCAAAGTTTCTCCTCAAAGCTCAGCCTTTTGCTCAAAAACCAGCAGTGCACAACAACCTGTTTGGTGAAAAAAAATGATCATTTCTAGCGAAAATCAGACGCTCGAGTCAAAAACACGTTCTTAATTCATGAAGACGAATATCAAAATATCACACCACCGCGAAAGATATCCATTCTACCCAATTCCATGCATACAAATACGACAACTCTGGATAAATGCTTTGCTGAAGCGGACAAATAGTTTCCACTAATAGGAATAATGATACTAGAGAAAGAAAAATATCTCTCCAAGCATATATAACTATATATGTATACATATACATACAGAAACACTGGATAGATGAAAATATAGCGGAAAAATTGCGACGATTTTAGATAGCAGAATTGCTTGTGTAGATAGAATTACAGTTTATTTTATTCCTTCATATCATAGAATTGCCCCGTTTATATACAGCACAGGCGTTAACGTACGCAAACCAGAGCGAGAAAGAGAGAAGAAGAGGAAGAAGAAGACGCGGATAACAGGAAGGATAGTTATGAATGTCACAGTAAGCAATAGACTAACTAACGATACATGGCCACAAAGGAAGATAGAAGTGCAAGACGACAAGAGAAGGCTAAAATATATCTGTATAATATATTAAGCCAATGAGTAAGAGAAGATAATGACATACAATAAATTTTACCAGAAACGTCACAAAAATGTCTTGCTAAAGCGGATAAATGGTTTCTATTAACAGAAATAATGATGAAAGAAAAATAAAACTGTCTCTCTAGACACATACAATACTGACCAAAAATATAAGAACAGATAATTTTTAGCGTTTTCATGTTTCATGTCTTTCCTTTTTTCCCGTTGATAATAGTTTGTCTCTTCACACATGAGTGTTTAGTTGTGCTGCATTCGATATTGAAGTTAGATTTTCTCGTTTCTTCTGTCAGAGCCTAGAAAAAAAGCATTTTTTGTGAAAAATTTGTTTTTCTATTTACAAGAAAAAGCATCCGTCTAAGGTTGTTTTTTGGCTATTAAAACTAAGATGAAAATGGACCTGATTTTTCAATACTTTCACACTGTAGAAGGCACTTTTTTCCACAACCTCAAAGACTTTTGAGGTCTCAGAATCATTCTGTTAGAATCAGAACACCGCTTCAATAATAAGTAATAATTTTTTGTATCAAATTTGGCTTGGAATTGCCGATTTCTAGGATTTTAAATTTAAAGATGACGTTTTCATTTTAACAGAATGATTTTGAGACCTTAAAAATCTTTCAGGTTGTGGAAAAAATTGCCTTCTACTGTGTGAAAGTGTTGAAAAAGCAGGCTTATCCCCATTGCAGTTTTAATAGCCTAAGATCTACCTGAGGCCGGCGTTTTTTCTTGTACAAAGAAAATACAAATTTTTCATAAAAAAATCCTTTTTCTAGGTTCTGACAGAAGAAATGTGAAAATCTAACTTCTATTTTTCTATTCATAGATACTATGTATGCCACTGACTGCTATGAATCTTCGAACAACTTATATGGAAACTGAAACTGTTCGTCTCGTGGATGCTTTCAAAAATCTAAGAGACTACGAAAGAATCTTCTCATTCAAGAATGTTTTGCGTTGCTTAGAGGAATCTTCTGATCACGATGGATTGTCAAAGGAAGAAGTTGCTACAATAAAAGCATATACGCTTGGATGGGGAATTTATTCATCCCTCAATGCAGCTCTTCGTAGTGAAAAATTTGAAGAAATTCAACCCTGGTTTCCTTATTTGAAACTTTTCACTATGGCTCTTAACAAATTGAATTCGACACCAGGAACGTATTGTCGTGGAATAAGTGCCAATATTAGTCATCTATATCCAGTTGGTTCGGTAGTGACTTGGATGTGTAAAATTATTGAAAACTTTTTGTCACTCAATAAAGTTAGAACTTATCTTAGTTTTATAAAAACAAATAAGTGATGACTAACGTTGCACAATAAAGTTCATCGGTTTAGATATGTTTTCAATGATAGACCAGTTAGTTCGATTTTTTGATAGCAAATTTATTTTTCCAAAAGTAATCCAATAAAAATTGATTAAAATCAATTTTCTGAGATCTAATCAGATTTTTTAGAATAATCAATTGTAATTCTCATTATCGATTTAATGCTTAATTGTAGGAAACCAGATTGAGTGGTCTTCAAGCAGCTATGATCTTGATGTCTATTTCGTATTCTTGAGCTCAATACATATCTTAAGTACAATAGTAGATAAATTTCAAGCGTATGCTACGCTTTGAAACACGATATCGATTCATAATTTCTCTTGTAATAGAATATGCCGATAAATGAGATTAGAATCAATTTCTTTTTGAAGTCGTCGGAAATGACATTTTCCAGAAATTTACAATCGATGATAACTGACTATGGTTGATTATAAGTGATTGACAATTTCTGATTGACATCAATTATAATTTTGATTTTGTTGCAGAAAAATCAGATTTATAATTATGTTTATTTCCATAGGATTTTGAGATTTTAACAGAAGAAATGTTTTAAAGAATAGATGATGAGTTATCTTTTCATGCTAATAAGGATATCTTTTTCAGTCGGTATTACATACCATGTGCAGAAAACCTGACCTCGGTGATGAGGTAAGTTGGTTGGATCAGCGCAGTAGACTACTTAGTAAGAAATTTCATTCAGCCTAGTGATGCCTTAATTTCCTTTTGTTTGAGCATACTGCTTGTAATGACGAACTGGATGGAGTAGATAGACGCTATGCGATAATGATGTTTATTTAGCCACTTCACATCTTCAGAGTGTATCTACTTTACATTGAACACAAGTTTATGTAGGAGAGAGAAACAAGAGAACACAGAATAAAATAATAGAAACAAAGAGGAAAGAAGAAGAACAGTGAGCCGTGACATATATATTTCGGCACATTGATGAAAAATGGCGAATGGTTCATTTTCTTCATAACCTCGTTCAGGATGTATAATGCTTTCTATTTCGCCATATACTTTTTATGAGAATGTTTCTTCATGGAAAACTGTTTTCAAGAGTTTGCAATATCGATGTGTTTCTATAACAATAAGACTTGTTTCTGGTTCGTTTTTGACATGTTGCCATAGTCTCCATCATGAATATTAAAAAAATCGTTTTTTCATCTGAAAGTTAATATATATATACAATATGATCATAGGAAAAGTTTATGATGAAAATATTAAACGATTTAATAGCTCCATTGCGTTTTCTAAACAAAGTTGTCAAAAAGAAACTAATTTTTTCGTTATTTTTCACAGGTATGTTTAAAAAAGGTGAAACTTTGAATTTAGAAGTAGTTCGCCATCGGCTTTACTTTGGAAAACAATTGTCTAACACGAAATACATCATTCAGTTGAATAAGAATCCTTGCAAAATATTCTACTACACCGAACCAACCAATTTGGATTATTACCGAGGTCAGGTTTTCTAAAGATGATATATAATATCGACTAAAACAGATATGACATGATTCGCAACTTTTATGAGCATGAAAAGATGGCTCATCATCTATGACTTAAAAACTTTCTTCTGTAACTCTGATTGTTGCTTAGAAAATATAAACTCACTGAAAACTGCTCATAACATAAGTTACTGTCGCATATTTGCAAATTGCATACTTCCAGATTGTCTCATCGGTTTGAGTTGAAATGTTCAATTTACTCTTAACTTTACCAGAGATATTTACTGTAAAAGTATTAACAAAAATGAGTGACATTCATTGAGCAATGTTGGTCGTAACCTAGACACAATACAACTTAGAAATTACTCGACATCAAAGGAATTCAGATGATATTGGAAGCACAGGGAGGTACTTCTTATATATCTTGTTTATAAGTCTCATATCTGATTGTTAACAAAAACAATGTACCTCCTTTTATTAGCTCATCCATTATGATTTTTGTGTTAATAGTGGGGTGTTTCATCCATATCCAAGAACAATTATACATGCATATATTTTGCTATTGATCCTGCTGGTGAAGATGCAATTAGTAATTTATTTATCATTAAATCGTTCTCAGCAAGGGATATATCAGCTATATCGATGGTTGCGGGTGAAGACGAAGCTCTTTTATTACCGGCTACACAATTCAAGGTTCTCAGCAATAAGATGAATTCGGAATACAATAATTTTCATGAAATCTCTCTCGAAGAAATCGAAACATTTTAAGATGATAAATTAATTGCCTCGAAATTGAACATTTGTTTTTGTTAGCAAAGAGCTGAAAGCAGAGGTGTGGGCGTGGGTGTAGGTATCGATTTGGATGTGGGTATGGGTGTGAATTGGTGTGGGTGATGCTGTCGGTGTCGATCTTCTCTTCATCCATACCCATACCCTTTCTTTCTATTGGTCATTAATTGAAATACATCAAGCAAGAGAAAATCAATGTTGACACATAGAAAGTGTTTACAACGATTTACATAAATTCTTATAAGTAGATATGGTTTAAAATTAATAACCTCAGTGTGCACAGGTTCTAATAAAAACTGCAACGAATATAGGAGATTTTTCCTCTAGCATGAGAAGTATTGCTATCAATGACAGTTCTCACTCTCCTTTCGTTTTTACTCCGGATCCTCAAACGTTGATGTATGTGCATAAATTACCGAGAATAATAGAACAAAATTTGAATAAAGTTCTGCATGCATAAATAATTTTTTCAAAGGAAGTAAGCTTTAAGTTTTAATATAAAGTGTGCTTCATCAAGTGAAGAAAGACAAGTAAAAGAAATTATACAGCCATTAAAACACTGACTATTGAACAAGGAAAATTGAGACGGAAAATTTGCGAGTTTGATTGTTTCGTCAGTGAAAGGCTGTTTTAGGGTACCGCTGTGTGATTTGAGTAGCACGGTAGGTGTAGCTATATTTGTACATTTTCCATTGATTGACATTCTGACTCTTCTCCACCACTCACAACTGCTTCCATACACCCACACCTTTCAGAATTTACGGAGTAAATACGTGTAGATGTCAATGTGAGTATGGTGTGTGATTGTGGGTATGAGGTGTGAGGTGTCGGTGGGTGAGTTTGAGCAGAGTAGCTTTGACGGAAAGCTCAACACTCACATCTCACACCCATAAGCCACCCAGAGGTTTTTGTTTGAGAAGACAGTCATTTATATTGTCAAAGACGATGAAGTAGATATTAAAATCTTGTGTTTGACTTTAGCATCTATCAATCATTTAACGTAAAAAACTTTTATCCAATGAACTTCTTCGGTTGTTCAGTCATAAAAACCAGCAAAAACTACATTGTTTTCTAATCTCTTTCTTTCTTCAAATACTTTCGAGAATTTGAGGAGTAATCGTAAAGGACAACAAATACCTGCAACAGAAAGCAAGAAAGTAACTTGAAATCTGCTCGGTGTACAGGTCTCTGAATTGACCATGCTATTATTTCTCACATTGCAGAAAGAAAAAATATTTCTCGCTATTACCATATATATAAGTTATTGCAAACAGATATTTTATTTTCACTTTCTTCATCTATTCGAATAGAGGTCTAAATACAAGTCCAATTGTCTGTAAGAGAGAAACATCAGTAAAGTAAATAATTGCGCCGCATTTTTCTTTTTATTTTGGTGATTTTCTTTTAGGAGATCGAGTTAACTCCAACTTGGTGATCAATTATATAACCTAGAGCTCATCTTTTTCTTTTTGTTCGAAGGATGGACCGATTTACTCTTGTTTTTATTGCAGCAGCAGTGGTAGGACTTTTATATCGCGGGGATAATCAAATGATGGCTGATGCAGCAACAGCTGAAGAAGCCAAAGCATGTTCCTCATGCTTATGTTGGAGTAGTGGATGGGGTAGCTGTAATGATGGCGGTTGCACAAAAAGCGGCGGTTATTGTGTTAATTATGGGCGTCCGCCAAATAATGATTGTCAATGTATACCGATTGGAAAGTACAAACTCCATTTTAAAAATTAACCACTGTTCGTATGAAGAGAGCAATTAAAATTTGAATGTACGTCATTTTAACCCGGATAAATGGAATTGAATAACGTCCTGCGAAGGTGTTACAATCATTTTTTTTAATTTTGTAACGGTAGAGTGGGTGTGGATGCCTGTGTAAGCGTAGGTGAAGATTCAGAGAAGGTTAAAACACACGTAATGACCCACAACCCACAATCACCTACACACGCGCCCACTTACATCCACGTCCACACCCTACTATACTTAGTCTTGATTGGATTGTATTAAATTTTATTTCTATTAACAAAATGGAACTTGCACGAAAAACGAATTAGTGTTAATTGCTTAAAAGAAAAAATATCGATGTGGAAAGTTTCAAAAAAAAACTCTACAGGTGCAGAATTTATCGTAAACAAAAAAGACAAGATCCTCGAATGGAAATATACCTCCAAAAATTTCTACAGAATTGATGGTTTTGATCAAACATTCCTAGGCAATAGTTTCTAAAATATATGTCCCAACACTATTTTTTTCGAAAATTTCCTCAAACTTGACGCGTGAGTGTGTGTGGATGCAAGAGTGTCGGAATGGGTGAGGGATGTGTGAGTATGGCTGTGAGTGTGGAGTGACGGTGTGGGTCTGGATGAAGAAGAGAAAGATAAGCGCCACACCCACACCCACACCCTCAACAACAATGTCGTTAAATGTTTTTATTTTTGCATGAGTAAATTACAAACAAATGTTGTTAAATTAGAAATATATACAAAGAAGACATTTCAGGTTGTATCATATTATTCATAGTTCATATCAGTTTTAGCATCCAGATGGTGCACAAGAATTTTGACATCTTGGATTTTTGACAACAGCATTCAGTGATGTTGTACAATCATTCTTTGTATTTTGTGTGCATGCACCATTTCTTTGACAAGCTCGCCAGGCATCCCAAACACAACAGTTACATTGTCGGCAATTTGAATTGCTTTGACATCCATTGATACGATTGAGATATCCAAGACGATTGCAATCTGCCATTATAAAATCGATCAAAAGTAAGCTAATCAGTATAGTGAGAATAACGGCACGCATATTTTAATTGTTTGACAACAGATCAAATTTGTCAATGAAATGTCAGGTTCTATCAGAAAGTAAACAAAGAGTATTCCAAGTCTGTTAATATTCTAATAAATGTTCAAAACTCTAGCTGGATCTTTTCGAAAAGTTACTAATGATATTTTTTTGAGACAATACTTACAGTATAAGTTGACAATATTTTTCAAAAGAGCATTCGGAGTTTTGCAGTAGAAATGCAGTAATTTATATACAGCTCTTAGAGTAGATATTTGTCCTTATAGTACAAATTTCGATTCGATAAATAGAAATGTCATTATTTTGATGAATGAGAAACAGAACGAATGCACATATTATACACCTGTTTTATAACTCTTAAGGGCATATAATTATTATGAGGCAGAGAGAAAAACACTTAACATATAACAGTCGATATACACTTACATAAATATTCTCCTGAAGACAGATAAAAATATCGTTAATAAACGGTAGATAAAAATAGACGAATTGTAAAATACGCACTTGAAATTAGTCATATTTGTCAAGGTTAACAACTAAGAAAACTACGGATAGTCGTCTTAAAACAGTCCACTGACACGTATTAAAAATATGCAATTATAATAAAATTTTTCCTGAATTTGAATGAAAAGATCCATTTCTAAGACTTCTTGAGCGTTTTTCTCAAAACATGATTTTCAGGCAGGAAAATTGAAATAACTCCAATCCGATTCAAGGTATAACCAATTTTTTTTTAGTTTTAAAGGTCTCAAAGAGAGTAAACTTTTGTCCGACCACATTTTTTATATTGAATTTCTAGCCTGAGAAAAGTGGAATTTAGTATCTTGAGAGGGTGTGGGTGTGGGTGTGCGTCTTTGTTTTCAGTTCAAACTCATATACATACCCACATTCCACACCCACACCCTCAACGATTTGGAGAAGAAAACAACTAACCAAAATCAAGAGTATCCTATGGTTCGGAAGGGAACGCAATTCACGTTCACGAGGAACGCAATAGAATAGAGTGTGAGTACCGAGTGTGGATGAAAATAGATTAGACCACACTTACTCACCCATACCCCACACCTATGAGGCTGAAGGCGCTATATCTCAAGTAAACTAGTACTAGTGTCGATCAAGCGGGAAGGTACCAAATGAATTGACGTTCATACCAAAAAATTTAAAGGATTATCGTCGATTGAGTCAATCTCAATAGGTTGCTTCAGATATTTTCTTAATTCATCATCGTGCTCATCGTCAAATTGAAAATATGGGTGTTACTGACTTATTGTTTGTAAGAGATGTTTTTTCTTTATTCATCAAAAATTATTTTGTAAATAGGCGAGTCGATTTGCCAAGTCACAAGATCAACTCGTACTCGACTCAGTGCGAAGAATGCCGCACCACTTCACCTTGCAACGAGCCAGAGAAACTGGGCAAATTTCGGATCTCTGATCAACATCCATACTCATGCATACATTTGATATTAACATTAATTGAACTTCTAAGAGTGTAACTTATGCAGAAAGAGTTGATGATTTAGTTGAGAGTCAAATGATTTTTAATAATAACTGGTATTTGTTTATAGGATGTCTTTTATGAATAGTTCGATTGTACTCCAAATTCACCTTCTGTGTTGCTTCGCATTTCATTGATTTACTGTAAAAACATTACCAATCTTTGTTTAAAAATTTGTCTTTTATTTTTAAGTCAATGAAGCTCACACAACATCACGAAATCCTATGATAAAGAATAATGAACTAGCGCTTTCTTCTGAAACTGTCAACAAAGAACATGCTGATAATAGTACGGACGAAAAAATTGAAAAGAATCATGAAGAAATCGAAAAGAATGATAAAGAACTACTATCAGAATTCGAAATATCGAAAGAAAAAACTTTAAGTGATAATGGTGAATCATAGACTTATCTTTTTTTCAGTATAAATTTTACTTTTTATTATAGAAAGTGCCGAAAAATTATTTCAATCAGCTCAGACACCTGTTCAAAATACTATTTCAGCATGAACTTTTACACAAACCATCAGCACCTCCAAAAGTATACCTAATAACCTCATTCATTTCTTCATATTATTTTTGTTTTTGATCTTTTCTTTTAAGTACACATTCAATGAAAACATTCGATTAATGACATAGTCTGATGATTTCGATAATGATATTTCTTAAATAAATTAATGCCTTTAGAATCTCTATCGATGTCATTTTTTTTTCTTGATTATAAATCGATAGGACATTAAGTAAAATTAATATTTCATTTATTTTTTTCGATACATAAATCAATGAAATTCTCTTTTTGTTTGTTAGTCTATTTTTTGATAATTTATCTGATCAAAATTATACGCAACATCTTTCTCTATTATTTTTACATACATTTCAATTTGAATAAAGATTGAAATAAATGTAAGATTATTTGATTATGAAAAATGCTTGAATTTCAATCCTGAAGAAACGATTTTATCCTCTAAGCATTTTTTTTGCATCTATTTTTTTTTCTCATATGATATGATAACTACGCTTTTTTTTTCTTCGTTATTTTTACCTCTTTGTCATAGAAATCTTGAGAAGAAAAAGAAAAATCAGGCGTTTTTGACTTTTACGCTCTTTAATAGTGCAAAATTGCTAGACTGAAAAAAGTTCTAATTAGTAATATTTTAATTGAATAGAAAAAATAACTTCTATGTAAACAAAAATAACAATTATAAATTAAAAATATTTATTTACTTGATTTATCATGAATAATCTTCATATATGGACAATTTCAAACAAAACGGTACATATCACCTACCTTTCATTTGACTTTGATTTTTTACAAGAATTATTTTTCTAAATAAGTTCTTTTAATATAAACATATGTAAACATGTTGATTCTTTCAATTGATTATGAATTAAAAAGTAACCAGCAGATATCTCTCTAACTATACGAACAAAAAAATCTGAAAACTTTAGAATAGACTTGACGGCACGAACCGCATCTATAATAAAATTCCCAGCACAATCAGATTCCAAAGACGTTTCTGTTTCCAACTGGTTTTCTCAAGATCCTATCAAGTTCAAAAACAGAACATTTGGCTTA